TAATAGTTGATTTTCGTAAACATTATCGTAAAGGAAGTAAAGAAAACAATATTGCTAAAAAAAATGCGTAAATGGTTGCCGATTTTGTCTTTGACAAATATATAAAATAGTTGATTAACGAAAAGAATCAATTTTTACTCATCAAATTATTGATAGCATCGGGTTTGACTAAGTAAAAAAAACTTTATTCTAAATAAAATTTGTGTTAAAGAAAATTTAGAATCCCACTAACTGTTTTGTTTAAAAAATACGTTATATATGTATATATAATATTTTAAGTTTGAAAGTATTACAATACAAATTCTATATACGTTATAGATGCTAATCTAAGCATTTAACCGTTGGACAACATATAATTAACGGAAGCATGTAAACATTGTAAGCTTATGCAATAAGTAAATATTGAGACATCTAATTAACTTTATGGCATGTAGTCAAGCAGTATGTATTATATAATGCATATATGCAAACATTGAGGTACATTACGTGTGAATATCAATCAATTAAGCATATAATAATATAAAATTAAGAACCCACGTATTATATATGGTATTGCAAAAGGAATAATACATACTAAAAGATATTTGTTAAAAATGAAATATACACATAAGTTACAATGGGTGGAAAAATACGTTTTTTTTTTCATATAGTCTAGAATAATAAAGGGGGCAAATACATGCATGAGACAGCAATATCTATATACATACGTGTCATTTATTTTATGCATGTAGGTGTATGCATGTGTCAATTGTATGTTATGCACAATTAATGGAATATTAAAGTCAAAATAAAACTTGCCATATTATTTACTCATTTAATGTTAACGGGTTTAAAAAAATGATTTTCTTTGCTTATATAATAATCTAACGTATATACACAGATTTGTCTATAATAATAATATAATGGGAGTATTTATGTTCATTGATTCATGGACGTTACAAAATATATTGTATGGTAGTTTACCATTTTAGTGGCGAATTGGATTTAGTTCCAAGATCTCAGTCTTACTAAAAATAAACAAAAAAAATTAATGAGGGTAGAGTCACAATTTAAAATTCTGGATTACACTTACATATGTGAGGTGCGGGGGGAATCGTTTAGTTAAAAATTTATGTATTATGTTTACATGTGTACACAAACATTCCCTTAAATATTAAAATCAAATAAGTAAAGTGAAGACTTAACATTTAATCATTTGTAATGGGTGATTATAGACAGAAACGTTGATTATTTTATTTATATAATATAATTCTGAGATATATTTTGAAATAATGAAATCATATGCATGGAATTTACTAGAGGGATTAACATATATATAACGTACATAGAGTGTCTATAGTGCTGGTTTAGACATATAACGGTTGAATAACAAATTTATTTTGTCAGTGATTATATATAAACGAAAATGAAATACTCCGAAAGATCTTTTTCATTACAATAAAAAATAGGCATGTATGAAAGGATGTGTCGTTTTGTGTGGCGGCAGAATAAGTACATGATGAAACAAGCACTCCGGAAAGAAACATACGAAGTATATATTACAAATATATGAGCGAACAATGTTGGATGTTTTGCTAAAAATAAAGCAGGTTGTTAATAAACGAGCTTTGAATATATTACGACGTATATATTTTCAATGGACTAACCTCAAGTCCAAGTGCTGGGCGACGTGGATCGTTGATGGAGGATGTTCGATCTTTGGTGCTTGAATCTCCTCTACTCGTACGGAAGCTTTCAATAGTTCATCAATGAAAAGGAAAATTATGCGGACGATAAAAGATCGGCTAAGGATGGTGATAGCCGAGTGAAGGGATGCGGAAAATATTTAGGTTTAGAGCAACGTGCTGATAACGTGTTGTAGGGAAGTGAGGGTTGTGTTGTATTCCATTAAGCAAGCCTCCTTTAAATAGGAGAAAATTAGGGTGTACAAGAGATGGGCCAATGGGCCAATTAAATTAATACATATAAAAACCCTAGACATACTTTCTATCTATAACGAATGCACATTAAAGGTAATTTCCTTCAACACATATGCATTATTGGTCAATTGATATTCATTTCTACGCCTTACTCGATCATGCACCATGTATTCTTGTACTAGCCACGTGTACGCCTATGTGGATGGTGTTGGTATTCATCTATCACTACTATGCATTCTTCTTTTCCCCCATTTTTATGTTCTTCATGCTGCATTTAAGACTTCTCTTGCTCAATGTTTACGATCAATTTAAATTACTTTTATGTACTTCTTTGATATGTGATGGATTGTTGTGACACATTTTTTTGAAACCAAACAAGATCACGATACTACAGCAATCAACATGACTACCCGTTTCAAGTATAGATGTTACTCAACGCGTGATGCAAATAAGTGGATTTGGTTTTGAACATTCAAGGGTTGGTTTTTTAGTCTTTACTTCGATCTTTATATATAGTGAAATTGTTTGAGCCCATATACTAAAAGAAGATTGAATCTGAGTATTTTCAATAGAGTGCAGTTCACTAGTTCACTTTAGTGCACATATGAACTTTCATTACTATCATCAAACAAAATAAACTACACATTCTTTTATTGAACAAAAACAAATATTTTATGTTAACCTTGAAAAGTATCAACAAAATATCTTAATATTATCGCAATTGAATCATATTGGGCATTTTTTCTTTGCACAAGATCGAGTTTTTACCACTTTTAATTCCCGACTATGGTGTCAGTGACACTTTTGATACTTGACTTTTACTTTTTTCATTTTTAGTCCTTGACTATTGTGCAAGAGACACTTCTGATCTTCGACTTCAAACTATTTCACATTTAGTCCTTTGAGTATTAACAAGTTGACACTTCTAATCTTTCCACTATTATTGTGACACAATAAGTGAAGAATTAAAAATGTCACTATTATAATAGCTAGTTGAGGAACCAACGGTGTCACTTTATGAATATCGAGAGATTAAATGTGGAAATTTTCAAAGACGGACATCAAAAGTGTCTTTCGTACAATAGTCAAAAATTAAAAGTGAGAAAAAATCAAAGTCAAATATCAAAAGTATACGTCACATAATAGTCGGAATACTATTAAAAGTATTTTGTAGACTTTTAAAAGTATCAAAAGTCTTTTGTAGACTTTTAAAACTACACATTGAATACACTTAAACTTTTAAAATCCATGCACTTTTAAAATTTCTTGACTAATTGTTAATACAATACACGCCTCTAAGACTCAAATAAAGGGAAGATATGACTTACTCCTTAGATAACTACTCCGTATTTTTATTAGTGCTCGCATCAGTTCGGGTCGTAAACTGATAATGAATATCTCTACAACATTATAAGAGCTAGTGAATATTGTCAAGGGTATAATAGTGATAAAAAAATGTTGGTGTCTCTTCTTGCAGAAAGTTATTGTACATCATGTAAACATTCATGTACCTATTAAATCATATTCCGTATTAGCTTTAACGGTTGAGGACTATGGTGTTACTGATCGTTAGTGCACCTTTAAGTATTTCCCCCCATCATCTATCAAGTGTTTCCTCTCCTCCAGCCCCTTTAAGTATTTACTAAAGTGTACGTTACCACTTTAATTAGTTAATAGAGTATTTAGTATATAATCCAATTTGAAGAGATAGATGTGTACATGTTATTTCTTGCCCACTCACACGGGTAAATAATACTTAACTAAATGTTTTTGACACACAGAAAATTAGGTGTGAGCAATTCCTTTTAATTTGCAGTTTGGTTTTCTTTAATTTGGTTTCGGTTCGGTTACAGTTTATTCAGCTTGGGAGAATTTGTACCAAACTAAAACCATTTGTGTTTCGGTTTGGTTTCAGTTTCAGTTCGGTTTGGTTTACCAAAGTGAAAAGTATTAGATTTAATTTTGTTCAATTTGATTCGATTTCTTATGTTTATTATAATTTTATTTTATTAAATTCTTATATTTTAGAATTAGAAAATGAAAGTAGTAGTCCATCTCATCTTCTTTTATCGATTATTTAAGTAAAATGTAGAAGGAAATCAACGATGGAAAAAAAGAAATAATAAAATATTATAAATTAAAACTTTTAACATCTTTTCGATCACCGGAAAAAGATTCACTTCTCACAAAAAATAAGATTATAGTTGATTAGCATTTATAATCTGGAGCATCACATAGAATATTCAAAATACTAAAGGAGACGGTGGTACAAATGTTGTAATATTCACAATTTTATTTAAATGAAGCATGTAAAAAATATAAATGCAATCTGTTATTGTTATCGCCAAACTTAACAAATACAAATATATCGTATTAGCTAACTTTGTCATAATGAATGTATAACCAATCTGTTATTGTTATCGCCAAACAAGTATTTTTCAGTTCGGTTTACGGTTTTTCGGTTTTAAACCAAATCAAACCAAACCATTCGGTTTGAGCAAATTCTTACCAAACAGTTTACTTAAGTAAACCCATTTTTGGTTCGGTTAAACCAAACCGTTTTGCCCACCCCTACCGAAAACAATATACTTACATCATAATTTATTTCAAAATGAAGAAAAATAATATTTCCCACAATAAGAATAAAACATCTAAGAAATGTAAAAATAGGAGTTGATATATACAATTTTCTAAATAAGAGTTTTTTTTGTGATTGGAAAAATATACCCTGCAGGGGTTGCAGCTAGCCACTAGATTGCGGCTGCCGATAGAACTCTACCGCAATCGTGGCCGCCAATCACCGGATTCCGCTGCCAACGCCAATCGCTGGGATTCTGTCGCCGAAATGTTCTCACCACTCCCAGATTGCCCTGAGTTTGTTTGGAGAACTAGGGAAGCAATTATTATATTAAGGTTAGAAAGATAACGTTTAATCATATTAAAAATATATAAATCATGCATGGGCTCTTATTTAGTGAATATGCTTATGTTTTACTCCTATTTCAGACAATTATAAAAAAAACGGAACTGGTTTATTAATCTCAAGGACTTTTTTTATACATGAGAAAGAAATAAGTTGTCATGAATCAAATGTATGCTTGGGCATTTTAGCAAACGCGCATGGCGCGTTAAAACTAGTCCAATAGAAGGGTCCCAAACATTTTTGTGTGATCTCGATTTTGTAAATTCCATAAATTTTAGAAGACAAAAAGAGTCACACTGCTTTTGCGCACAAGTAAATGCAAATCAAATATTATATCAATGGAATGGAATTGAATAAATCAAGCAAATTAAAACAATTGACGCATTCACAACATCCCAGTCGGACTAATTCATCCTTAACATAGGTATTTGCTCATTGTAGAGCTGTTAGGTTACAAAAATGTTGAACCCGGGGGCCATTTCTTCCCGCGTCACTGTGTTAAAATAAATCTGCAGTGACCTCTTCAATGAGTCCCTTCATCAAATGCTTCTCAACATCCTTTGCCACCTCACCCTTTTCTAGGAAGGCAAACATGGCCCCACCGTCCCATCCAAGGTCCCACATACAATTTATGTCAGGCTCTGTGTTTTCCATGTCTTTCGCAAGCATAGGATCAAAGTACTGCGTTGACTCACAATCTTCTTCACTGCCACTCCGGTCAAAGCTGGTCAACTTCTCAAAGTCCTTGCACAGTTGCTTGATCAGATCATCTAAAGATCTAATCTTTATGAAACCGGTGATGGGTTTTCTGGCGTGGGGATAGGCAGAGAGTTCTTGCCTCCTTGCTTTTCTTTTCATTACCTCATAGGCACAGTCTACTGTAAGCAAACGCTCTGCCCCTTCATTGATATGGTCATTTGCATAAAACACACTGACTGGTAAGTTCAGATTGAGGAGGGCTTCTGCTGTGCTAAGGAATAAGTGGCTTTTGATAAGTGATTCCTTGAGATTCTTTTCTGGCTCAGTCAATGGCTCTTTCTGTTGTTTGGGATTTGAACTGCAGGTTTCTGATTTAGCTGGTGGGTTTTCTGTAACATTCAGAGAGATAATTAGCCACCCTCCTGTCTCTAGGATGCCATTGCTATGACTATGAGTCTCACTTTGAACTGATAGAAGTCACACATTTGTATGAGTTTATCAGTGTTTCCATATTTGGTACTTCGTATTTTAGTGGAGTTTGGCTCATCTAGTCATGTGCATTATGACCTAGTTGAGTGACCCAACCCAACAATGAATGCTGCCAATATACTATCGTATATCTTCTTACTAAATTTACCCTTATAAAAGATTCGCTAATTTTTAATTAATTGTGTTTTCCAATGTATTAGTTTTCTTATCTTAATGGTACACAAGAGAAAATGTTGTTAATGCTCCATGGTTCTAAATGGACAGACAAGTAGGACCGCCAAAGTAACAAATTTAAAAATAGACAGTTAAATAAGAACAAAGGGGGCATTTTTGTACTTTCTTTTAAAGACAAATGCATAAGAACCTGAAATTATGATAGGCACAGTTTTAGTAACTTGATCTTGGAAAAGTTCTTGATCTCCTGCAGCATCACATAAATTAAGGGTCATGTTCTTTCACACCCCATTTTCACTTGGTACAAATAAGCTTCATGTTTCACATAGACACTTTTCATGTAAACTTACCTTCTTGGTGATTTTGCAAATTTTTTTGATAACTGATGTCTGGATTTTGCCCTGCATCCTGGTGACTACTCCTGTGTAATTCCATTGCATCTTTCTGCTACCAGAGAAAGTAAAAAAATTAAACCTCAATCTCATATTGATTAGCACAATGCTAAATGTTATAAGGAGTATAATTTATTAATGAAATTGAAAATGTATGAAAACTAAACCTACATCTTCAGTATGAACATGTAATGCCAAAACTTTTGATTCACAATGCACTATTTCTTGTACAGCTTCTTCTTTGTCAAACTCAGAGGTGTTTTCTTCTTTCAATTCAATTGGATGTTCTTCACTCAATTTGCCTTTTACACCAGAGGTGCTATCCACATGGCATTTCACCTGTTTCTTCACCTTCAGTATTGGTGATTGTTGTTTCAATGTGTTTTTGAGTGTGTCTTTGATGTGGGTTTGAATCCGACTTTCTTTCTTCTTAATGGTTATCTCCTTGATAGGCTTCTCTTCTGCTCTATGTTTAGCATGTTTGGCCCGGTTCAGTAAAGGCCCCTCCCTCTTTGGAACACTTTTTAAATTAGTACTATTATTATTCCTTACAGTTTGGGGAAGTCTGCCCTCCATATGACTTGGCGTTGGCTTGTGAATCTCCAGTTTTCGCTTCACTGTGATAGCCTCATTTTCTGCTATTTTGTTATCTCTGTGATGTATATTATTATTCCTCCTGTGCTTGGTCAATTCTGGTGACGAGTTGACAGCAGCTTTCTGATCACTGTTATGATGAGGTGGCTTATCATTCTTCTTGGGGGCTGAATGTCTTGAGGCCTTCAGAACTTTATTTCGGGGAAACTCATCCAGTCCCATGAGTTTCGCAATGACATTTGATATTCTCCCCTTTTCTGTTCCATGTGTTGATAAAGTTTCGCGCTCCAGATTTGCAGAAGCATCCTTAAAATATGTTAAGGCCAGCAGTTTCTGTGCACTACCTGTGGTCTCTTTCTTGGTATATGATTTTCTGGATGGCTTATTATCGAATGAAAACTTCGGAAGGTCTTGATGCTTCTGAACAGCTGTTTTCACATTATTAGTTTCGTCTTCTTCATCAAGTAATGTTATCTGCCGGTTTTTCCTTTGAGAGGTGATTATGTGTTTGGAGGATGCTTCCTGCAGGTCAACAAGCATTCTCAGGGATGACTCCAAATCCATGGCTCCTTTTAAGAGTTCCTTCCCTACTACTTCAAAAGAGTATGTGTCAAAGTTTACATGGCCACCATTTGAATAGCTGGTTTTGAGGATCTTGTTTATCTTTTGTATCCCTTTTGATATTTCACTAACTTGAACATTTGAGAGGGTTACATACTGGCTACTTTCCATTTTCCCCATAAAGTCAAATGATCTCTGCCCAAATTGATGGACAACTCCATACACTGCATTATTATTGCATGAAGAGTTCAGTTTGGCAAAACTGTCTCGCTTTTCAATGGAAACTGTGATTCCCATGGAAAGATCTTTCTTTCCTGAACTTTGAACCCTTTGAGCTCCAGAATAAGGAACAATCTGTGCCGAAGATGTCTGAGAACCTCTGTGGGATTGTCCAGCATTTGCATATTTCCCTGTTTGTTTCACACGACAAAGATGAACAGATGAAACACATCACACTTTCATAATATGAAGCATTTGAGTACACCAATTAGAAATTAAAACACAACCACATCCAGATGCCAAGTGGATATGCAAAGTTCATGAATAAATGCAAAATATCATCATACTTTTACAGTTGATACTCTATCCCGGCTGCTCATTTACCTCTTGATTGTGATTGTGATGAATTCTGAGAAGATGACAGTCTCTCCTTCCTTAGCCGCAGGTCTTGCAATAGCTTTTGTGCTAAATCCGATTTCGCTCCCATGGTTTCCCACATGAGAATTTCACTTCTGTTATGTTTTTTCACTTAGGGATGTATGAGAAACAGGGATGTTTTTGGATAATGTGTTGGTTGCAGGAGGAGTGGAATGTCTGTCACTTAGGTGGGAAGCCTTATTCAGTGTTTGGTAAGATGATTTTGTTTTGGAAAGAATGAATAGAATAAGAAAGCTGGATTTTTACCAGATAGATTACTTCTATTCTAATCCAAGCAAAGTCAAGGTTTAAAGAACTTCAAAGAAAAGCTTCCTGTATTGGAATCTGCTTCTTCTATAGCTCAAGTGAGATCTAACATGGAGTAACATGGCTGTTGCTATATTTAAAAATTCCCAACTTTTTTCAGTGGGATAGACCTGTAGTTTTCAGTTTTTTAATGGAGGTTTGTGGCTATATTCTTCTGTTTATTAGAGTGCAGATTCTGCAAGTATTGATGCTTCCTTTGCAGGAAAGCATTCAAGCAGCAGTGTCCATTAACCTGCAGAATTTTCCAATCCTTATTTGCACTTATCTTCATATATCAAGTATGATGAGCCTATCAGATACTCTCAACTATGTAGCTCGGGATAATTTGATTTATAGTGTTCATGTGAAAATTTTCAAATTTAAACAAATACTCCGTAGAGAATGGAATTTTTTGAAGGAGAATTTGATGGCCAATTGTGTTAAAATAGATAAGAAATGATTATATATTTATGACTAAAATAAAGATTATTTAAAAAAATGTGATTAGTGGCTAAAGTAGTGATGAAATCATAGTAAATATATATTAAATTTAAAACTTAATTTACCATGGCACTACATTGTAGTAACTATTAGTCACATTTGTGTAAATAAGTTTTATTTTAGTAATATTTTTGTAAAAACCCCATAGGTCAATTAAAAGTTGAAATTTAACTTGAAAATTAAGTAACATTTTTACTTTTAAGAGGATGTAATTTTTATTTTAACAATCTTTAGAATAATTAGAAATAGGGGTGGGCATGTCGGTTTCGGTTCGGTTTTTATTGACTTTCAAGTTGATTTGAAACGGATTGGAAGAATGATTACCAAACAAAAAATGAAGATTACTTTGTGTTATCTTTCGATTTGGTTTGATTTGGTTCCGTTGGGATTTGTTATTTTTTAATAACATATGAAGATTTTTTGAATTTATTTAGTTCGATATTTATTGATTTTTATCGATTTCGATTCGGTTTAATACATTCTGAAAAAATGCTGCCGAGCTCAAATCAAATTGCATATGATTCGATTTCAGTTCGATTTGATTGCATTCACTTATCTAGACGCTTAGAAGAAGATAAATTTAGAATATTCTTAACTTACTATCCCATCTAATGGACCATAGGGAAGAATGTGGGTACAAAAAAGTATTTTAAATTCCTTTAAAAAAGAGTCGTTTTTATTATAAAAACCATTACATGCTTTACTCTTTCTTTATGTAGATGAAGAATCCATGTAAATAATACTTAAAGAAAGAAAACAGAAACAGTATCAACTTCTGCCCATTTTCTAAATGGCCCATTTCTAAGCAAAATAAGAGCCCGTTTGGTAATAACCAAACCGACTGTATTGACTGAAATTTATGAAGTTATGGCTGATGTGGCTGTATAGGCTGATTCTGCTGATTTGTGAAAAATAATAATTTAAAATACATTTTATTAATAAAATAAAGAAAAAATTATATGAAAAAATAGCTAAAATGACCTTCTACAGTAACTTCAGCCAAACAGCCATAAAAGTAACTTCGGTCTTACTTTTTCTTATTATTACACAATTCAACCTGTAAAACCAAAATGTACGTGTTTGGTAAAAAAGTTGGCTTATAAGCCTGAAAAGCGACTACCAAACGGGTCCTAATACTCCGTATTATGCTACCTATTATTGACAAATTAGGGTTTTAGCCAACTAATTGGCCAAAACTGAATGCACATCTATCTATCTATAGATAATACATTTGAAGGTTACAATTGTGGAAAGTATTGTCACATGTCATCTCTATCAGGGGAGGATCTATGTACGGGCTATGGTAGGCTGAAGCACAGGGCAACTGAGAACTTTTTTAATTTTTTTAGTGTACATTTGTTCATTTTTCACATTTAGCTCACCCTTATAATATTTAAGCCTAGTATAATTCCTATTAAGCCCAGGACATCTCTGAATCCTGGATCCGCCCCTGATCTCTATAATTAATCTATATATAATATCACTTTTTAAATTAAAAAAAAAAAGAATTTATATCAAAGTTAGCTATGCACGGCCGTATTTCATATAGAAATACTGCTCAACTAAAATACAACTTCTATTATTTAGGAATCCCACAAAAATAAAATCTCATGTTTTTTTAAAGTGTTATAACTTTTTTATTTGTACTCTAATTGTTATAAAAAGTATATTAAAATTCATAACTTTTTATTGTCTTTCAAATGACACCAATATTGAATATAAAAAATGTATAAATAATACTTCACATTTCAAAGATATAATTCTGAAAAGTTTTATCATGTGGCATGCAAACATTCATTATATTATTCGAGATTCTGTTTCCGATTGAATTTCATGTATATTAAATCTACTATATACGTTACTAGTATCCTTACCCGTGCCGTGCACGGGATAAAATGATTTTGATGTTTAGTTTTACTAACAGAAAATCATTTATAGTTGATTATAACATGTTTAAAATCCACATTCTAATTTATATGGAGTATGCCTTATTTTTGAACTACTACCTCCGCCCCCTAAGTTTGGGATAGGAGAAGGTGACACTGTTATTAATAAAAGTGGGTTTATGTGGTTTATATTGAATTGATAAAGTAGGAATAAAATGGGAATGATTTAGAACCACACAAATTTTACCAAATAAGGTATGAGACATCCTTAATGGGACGGATGGAAATGATAAAATGAGACAATTATAGCGGGACGGAGGGAGTATTTATTTAAGCATGTTTCCAATTTATATTTTTCGATGAAAAGAACATACGGAGTATGTAGTATTTTTTTTATAACTCCCAGTAGGGGTGGGAATTGGCCAGGCGGCCTGTCAGAGGCCTGTGGCCTGGCCTGTTTAATAATCAAAGTAGGCTTGAGCTTTTCGAAAAGTCCATTTACCTAAATAGGTTAGACTTAGCCCCACTCTAAAGCCTATTTAACTTAACAGACCGGCCTATTTATATGTGTGTATATATTGTTTGTATATATATTTAGTTATATTTACATTTATTTGTATTATTTATATTATATTAGTATAATTAACTATAGCAAATTAAGCATAATAGTATTTTTATGAAGTGTGTATTATACAAATACAAACTTAATTACACACTTAATATTAGAATACTATTTCAATTATATAAAGTGTGTTAATAGGGTATTAGGGTAATTGAAATTCAAAGTTTTTCAAGATTTGAAGTACAAAAAAATTTATAAACTACATAATTAACGTATTATTAGACATTCAAAGCAAACCTAACGTATTATTAGACTTTTTAGTGAATATTTGGGGGACAAATTTTATATGGGGCTAAAAGGATTTTTCACTTTTTTATTTTTTATTTTTTTGAACTTTTGATTTTTTTTTCTTAACAGACCCACTAAACAGGCTTCAGTCCAGACCAGGCTTTTCAACAGGTCAGGCTCAGGCCGAACAAACAGGCCCGTGACAGGTAACAGGCCAGGCTCAGGCCTATTAATTCTAAAACAGGCCCGGCCTGTTTAGGCAAAAGTCTGGTCTGGTCTGACCTATTTCCACCCCTAACTCTCAATTGCATGCAATTGAGATTAATCTATTTTTACCTAAACAAAAAGAAAATGCTCATTGCCTATTTTAAATTCGGCCAATACAATCATAAAAGTGATTCTAATTTTTCTTTTTCTTATTGTTACATAATTTAGCACTGAAATAAAAAATTGCGTGTTTGGTGAAAAAGTTGACTAATAAGTCAAAAAATGGGGTTATAAAACGGGCTCTAAGATTGTTGCTTTTAACTTCACACAAAAATTATACAGAGTAGGCAGTAGCAACTTAGTATTTCATAGTGTAAAAGAGGGAAGATTTTGAATTTTAGTCCCGTAATTTTTGGATGTGCCCATTATTATGTTTATAAATTTACTCGCTTACACATTTGATCCCGTATAATAACTTTTGCAATTTAAAGAAAAAGTATTCTAGAAAACATGCCGCTGGGTCGATTTTTTTTTTTTTTTTTGTAGAAAAGTGCGCTTTATAATAGTAAAATTTTTGAAAGAGGAAACATTATTGGTGAGGTATAGGGGAAACCTCCGAAAAATTGATTTTAGCAATACTGAGAAGAGTAAAATCTAATTAAGATACAACGATGTTTGATGTACCCACTCATACTCTTCGTGTTTATGAAGGTTTTTTTCCCCGGAAAAATTGATAGTAATAATCGAACCTATTGGCGGTCTGCTCATAATAATCTCAACTATCGATTATTTCAGAATAATCCCAACTTTAGGGAAAATACCTGGACGGGAAGAGTTGATAATTCATTACAGATGATTAGATGAATGATTATTAACATTTGGATGATTGAATCCAGAGATTCATGTACTCCGTATTATAATTAAGTACACAGAAAAGTTCGTTTAATGAATTTGAATGGAATGGAGCATAGAAATAAAATAATTCGGCAGAGAAGAACACTTCCAGGTCCAAATTAAAGACTATCTACGTTTATGAGAAGATTTAAGAGAACATATCGATATTGAATTGCGAGATGGACAACCACGATTCTAATTCTAAATAAGATTGTTGAATTGAAAAGATATTGCTGTAGAAGTGACACGTGGAGTCACTTTCCCTAAATGGAACTTTCAAATATATTAACTATAGATAGATACGTACGTTACATTAGAATTTCATTTAGATTTGAATTCATAATATATTAATTTAGAACTACCATTGGATCTCTTTCTACGTTAATTACATTAGAATTATAACTTATGCATGTTAAATTAGTTTAGAACTAAATCTGATTTTAGACTAGATTCTCAAAATTAAATATTCCTTCCGTCCCTCTATTAAGTTCCTACTTTGACCTACACATATTTAGGAAATAAATTTGACTTTACTGTTTAGACACTGTTTGGCACTGTTTAGACGCTGTTTGGCACGGTTTAGACACTGTTTGACACTGTTTGACACTGTTTTGATGTAGGATAACTTTCCATTTAGGGAAATGAGAAGATTATTTTGGGACGGCCTAGAAAGGAAAGTAGAAAGTTAATAGCGGGACGGAGGGAGTAATAATTTATTTCAAAGAAATTATTATTAGTTAAATTATTATTAAAATTTATAATATATTAGTAAAATGAATAAAAAAAAGTACAGAATTAATATATACCCGTAATAAAAAGTTATTATAAAAAAAGATAGTGTAGAACTCAAAATAAGTGAAAATTATGTTTTGAAACACTGTGATTGATTTGTTTATCATCTGCCACACAATTCAATATTTTCACACATAAAGTAGGAATGATTTAGAACCACACAAACTTTACCAAATAAGGTATGGGACAATCTTAGTAGGACGGACCGAAATGGTAAAATATAAAGTAGGAATGATTTAGAACCACACAAACTTTACTCAGTTTACCAGTTGTTATGGTAAAC